CACGAAGATTCGTGCAAGAATAGGCCTTCCTTCCCCTGGCTGCCAGCACTGCCTTCGCTCTGGCCTGGAGCCGCCTTTCCGCCTTCACTCTGGCCAGAGCTGCCTTCCGCCTCTTGCCTTGTCACGTCAATTTGCATATTCCTTCTTATTGGCTGTAGGCACCGCATGTTTGTTGCGAAGTTACAGTCAATTTGCATATTCCATCTTTATTAGGATGGTTAAAACTGATATCAACATAGTAAAGTACCCATCAGGATTTATTTTAATTTTAGCGGAAACAGCAATAACAAACCTAACCTAGGTTGTGACATTCTCCCAGGCAACATTCGTCTACAAAAAGTTGCCAAATGTGAAGACAAACCAAGTGACACTTCCAATTACACTTATACTAGCATTAATTAAATGCCATTTGAGCAATCCCCAAGCAGTCAAGCGAGTCTACCTCTATAGCATCAGTAAATCAGTATATGGCCTTCAGTAAGATTACAACTGGATGTATCAAATTACATTTTCCCTAACACAGTGGTCGGCAAACTCATTAGTCAACAGAGCCAAATATCAACAGTACAATGATTGAAATTTCTTTTGAGAGCCAAATTTTTTAAACTTAAATTATATAGGTAGGTACATTGTTATTAACTTAATTAGGGTACTCATTAGCTGCCCTTTGCTAAAAACGTCCTCATTTTATAATAATAAAGCCACCAACACAAAATAATTACAATTCTTAAATTGATGACAAAAATACCTGTAGGATTTGCAGCTGGTTGGAAAAATCCGGGTAACTTTATGCTTCGAGTAGGTACTTTTGTCACCCATGCGCAATTTGCGGACGCGACTAGCACTAACCACTGCACATGAGACTGCTGACTGACTGGCTCACTCAACTCATGCATGAATCGCGCGCACCTCCCCTGCACTGTGTATCTGTGTTATGAGTGTTCACACCATTATGTGCTTAGATTAAGGATTAAAAGGCACTGTCCTAATAATTTTTTTAAATTGACCAAAATGTAAAATCTAGAAGGCAAGTTTGTAAGCAACAGAAGTTCTCCTTGATAAAAAAAGACAAACATATTTGGAAATAAGATCCCACTTTCTAATTTCTTGAAGATCCCTTCTTATCTATATAGTTAATAAAACTCCATGCTGATGATGATGTGGGCTTTAAAATAACAAATGTTTACAGTTGTTAAAAACTGTAATAAGCTAATTTCATAGGAATATAAACGAAGCTATTCTCTAGCTTCTTTACACAAACATTTTGCAAATATACTTTCCAAAATACCTGATTCATTGCTGAAGTAGTCTAAGTGAAACTGGTAGCCTCATCTGAATCAATAACTATCTGAAAGGGAGATAAAGACAAAAAATTCTGTATACTGACCTTTCTCACTGGGACAAAAAGTCATAACCAAAGAAAAGGATGTGAAGAGCCCAAAGGGGTTATTCCCCTGGATAAGGTTCAGCCAGCCTGAAAGAACTTAGAATGTACCATACCTCCATATGTAATACTTTCAACAACAAAGATTTTTTTAAAAAAAGAACATACTATACCTCTGCCATTCCCGGTGACTTAATCTCCTTGATTTTGAAGAAATAGCCCAAGGTCAGGAAAGCTATTGCCATGGCGCTTACACTGATCATAAAGACCACCAGGGGAGGCCGACTGCTGATGTACAGCTTCAGGTTCTCCAGGGGGTTGATGTTGAACATTATTCTGATCGTCCACCTGAAAGGAATTAATCAGAAGATACTGACTTGCCAAAAGAAAACCTATGATTTTCACTTTTTCCTTTCACGGTGTTGGGGGGGAGGGGGGGGTCACTGGTTACTGAACTTGAGAAATATTTGATCTGAAATTTTCAAGACTAGCAAGAAAAAACACATTAACTGTCATTTCCAAATGGTAACCTCTTGAAAGATAGGCATTCCCTTTCAGTTTAATCTTCTAATTATTCTATAAAGAATATTTGTTACTTCCATGTTACTTAAGGAACTATTTAAGTAGGTTAATAATATGACACAAATACATGCCAACACATTACAAAACTAAATTGAGGATGCTCTCATTTCCTACCACTGAAAGCTGAATACCATCTACTCAACACTGTACTGTTTACTGCTATACTCTTGTCCATTCCAGCACCAGGCATAGAGAGGCACTCAATAAATACCAAATTTCAACCTTATTTTAAATTGCATCTACTTGAAACCAAACTTTAACCCCCGCCCCCAATATATGAAGCTTTTATTCCATCTGTAAAATATTGCAAATAAGTGTGACAATTCATTAGGTATCTTGCTGTTTCTATAGCTGGACAACTTAGATATTCATCAGCCTGTTGAACTATTCCTTTTTCAGAAACATAGATACCATCCAAAAATTTTCTGATATCCTTGTTAACTGTTGTGACTTGCTGAATCAAAGCAGCTGATTTTGATACAAGTTCAATGTCATTTCCTTCAAGAATTAACTCATCTTTCCGGGCTTGAGATACTGAACAAGCAATGCCTTACCTCATCCAAATTCTGCAGATGTATTTTTTCGCCCCCAAAATTTCTGATTTCAACAAGAGAATCATTCTCCTGAATAATGACACTGATGGGAAAGCGAGCGTACACCGACCTTATCTTGTAACGGAAGCCCAGTAGAACACCCTTGATCATGTTCTGTACATGACTGCAGACTGTGCAAACTGTGGCCAGTTACTTTCTATTGCCTCACCATTTGTCAACCTAGAGCAGTGGTTCTCAACCTTGGCTGCACATTAGAATCACCTGGGAATCTTTTTAAAATCCTGATTTCTGGGCCTCATCCTCTGGAAATTCTGTTTCTTTGTTATGGGGTGGAGCCAAAACATTAGTAACAAAGAAACAGAATTTCTGAAGGATGAGGCCCAGAAATCAGGATTTTAAAAAAGATTCCCAGGTGATTCTAATGTGCAGCCAAGGTTGAGAACCACTGACCTAGAGCCTCTTCTTTTTCTTTCCCAGGAGACAGAGTTCTACATTGATGTGATTGAAGTCCCTCTGAAGGGTGCCCATGGGGCCTTCAGAGTGATGTCCACATATTCTGGGATGTTAACAGTTGATCGCTGAAAATGGTCTTCATCCTCACAGTATATAAGAGCAAACCAAACTTCTTTATCAACCATTTAGATGTCTTTCTAGGTGAACTGCCTAAATCTTTACTATAAGATGTCTGTCGATTTCTTGTTAATGTTTAGCCGTTCCTTTTATATTCTGGAAACTGAGCCTTTACCAACTTTATATGTTATACTACTCATCTGTGGATTTTCTTTAATATGGTTCATGGTATCTTTTGCCATATGAAAGGGTCTTGATTTTTTTTAAACAGTTTATAAGATCTAATTCACCTACCATACAATTCACACATTTAAAGTACACAATTTAATTAACAGAATTGGGCAAACCATCACTATACTAAACTTTTGCACATTTTCATCATTTCATAAAAAAAAACCAGTGCTCGCTTCAGCAGCACATATACTAAAATTGGAATGATACAGAGAAGATTAGCATGGCCCCTGCGCAAGGATGACATGCAAATTCGTGAAGCGTTCCATATTTTAAAAAAAACAAAAAAAAAAGAACCCCATACCTTGTAGCAAATAACCCCTTATTTCTCCTAGCTCTCAAGCAACCACTAATGTACTTTCTGTCTCTATAGATTCACCTATTCTGAACATTTCAAGTAAATGAAATCATATAATGTGATCTTTTGGCTAACCTCTTTCACTTAGCATTATGTTTTCAAGATTCATCCATGTAGCACATATCAGTACTTCATTCTTATCTATTGCCAAAACTATTCCATTGTATGAAGTATTTTATTTATTCATAAATATTTTGTTTATCCGTATCAAAATTTGGGGGCTACAGCAAAAGTAGTAATAAGAGGGAAGCTTTAAAGCGTTACAGGCCTACCTTAAGAAACAAAAATCACAAATAAATAACCTAGCATTTCACCTTAAAGAACTAGAAAAAGAAGAACAAATGAAGCCCAATGTCAGTAAAAAAAAAAAATTACAGCAGAATTAAACTACATAGAGAACAAAACAATAGAAAAATTAATGCAACAAAGAGCTAGTTCTTTAAGAGGATTAATAAAATTGACAAACCTCTGACTAGACTCACTAAAGAAAAAAAAGACACAAAATCAGAAATGAAAGAGAAGTTACAACAGACACCACAGAAATAAAAAGGACTACACAAGATACTATGAAGGCCATGCACCACCAAATTTGATAACCTAGAAGAAATGGACACGTTCTTTGAAATATATAACTTTCTAGAATGAACCATGAAGAACTGGAAAATCTAAATAGACCAATTGACAGTAAAGAAATTGAAACATTCATTAAAGCATGTCAAAAAGTAAAAGTCCAAGACCATGTGGCTCCCACCAAAATTTAATACCTATCCTTCCCAAGCTCTTCCAAATAATTGAAGAGCAATACTTTCTAACCCATTTCATGAGGCCAATATTACCAATAGCAAAACTGGCAAGGAACACACACACACACACACACACACACACACACACACACACACACTACAGACCCATATCTCTGATGAATGTAGATGCAAAGTCCTAAACAAAACACTATCAAACAGAACACAACAATACATTAAAAAGATAATACATCATGATCAACCACAATAACAAAATAAAGGATAAAAATCACATGATCATATCAATAGATGCAGAAAAAGCATCTGACAAGATATAACATCCACTTATAGCTAAAAAACTCAATAAACTGGTATAGAAGGAAGGTACTTGACCATAATAAAAGCCATATATGATAAATCCTCAGCTAATATATTCAATGGCAAAAAAAACAACTGAAAGCTTTTCCTCTAAGATCAGGAACAAACAAGGATGCATACTCTCATCATTGTTATTCAACATATAGTACTGGAAGTCCTAGACAAAGCAATCAAGCAAGAGAAACAAATTTTTTTAAATGCATCTAAATGAAGAAGTAAAATTGTCACTTTTTGCAGATGACATGATTCCCTAAATAGAAAACTCCAAAGACTCCACCAAAAAAAAACTATTAGAAACAATAAAGAGATGGTTTGGACATATAGAGAGGATGAACAAAAGGAGATAGATGAAATAAGTATACAAGACCAGTGTGGATGGGAGAGTTGGAAGGGGTCGACCTCAGCGAACGTACCTCAATCAGAGTGAGGACATTTTTAGTAAAGGCCAGCTTAGGAGTTCCCTAATTAAGTTAATAACAATGTACCTACCTATATAGTTTAAGTTTTAAAAATTTGGCTCTCAAAAGAAATTTCAATCGTTGTACTGTTGATATTTGGCTCTGTTGACTAATGAGTTTGCCGACCACTGGACTAGACTAACAATAAAATTTCAGAAACATAAATGAAAAAACAATTACATTTGCAATTTCAACAAAAAAAAGAATAAAATATCTAGGAATAAACAAAGGATGTGAAGGACCAATACACTGAAAAGTACAAAACACTGTTGAGAGAAACACTGAAGAAGACAACACAAAGAGCCCTGATTGGTTTGGCTCAGTAGATAGAGTGTCAGCCTGCGGACTGAAAGGTCCCAGGTTCGATTACGGTCAAGGGCATGTACCTTGGTTGCGGGCACATCCCCAGTAGGGGGTGTGTAGGAGGCAGCTGATCGATGTTTCTCTCTCATTGATGCTTCTCACTATCCCTCTCCCTTCCTCTCTGTAAAAAATCAATAAAATATATTTAATAAATTAAAAAGAAAAAAAGACACAAAGAAATGGAAAGATACTGTGTTCACTGACTGGATGAATCCACATAATGAAAATAGCCATATTACCAAGAGCAATCTACAGATTTAATGCAATCCCCATCAAATCCCAATAGCATTTTCAAAGATATACAACAAAAAATCATCAAATTTGTACAGAACCACAAAAGACCCTGACTAGCCAAAGCAATCGTGAGAAAAAGAGCAAAGCCAGAGGCATCACAATTTTTGATTTTACGTTATACTACAAAGCTACAATAATGAAAACAGTATGGTATTAGCAGAAAAACAGACACACAGACCAATGGAACAGAACTGAGAGAACCCAGAAATAAACTCACATGTATATAGACAACTAATTTTTCAAAAAGGAACCTAAAACATACAATGAAGAAAGCTGCTTCAATAAATGGTGTTGGGAAAATTGCAAAGCCACGTGCAAAAGAATGAAATTAGACTACTATTTGACACCATATACAAAAATTAACTCAAAATGGATCAAAGACCTAAATATAAGACCTGAAACAATAACATTCATATAAAAAAATCACTAAACTTATGGATCTTTATCTCAGAGGATATTATGAATTTGACACCAAAGGCAAGGGAAGTAAAAGCCAAAATAAATGACTGGAACTATAACAAACTAAAAAGCTTCTACACAGCAAAATAAACTATCAACAAAACAAAAAGGAAACTAACTGAACAGGAGAAGGTATTTGCAAACATTACTTCTAATAAGCACCTAATATCCAAAATCTATATATATAAAAGGCTAAGTGATCAGCCGACTGGCTGACCAGCCGGTAGCTATGATGCACACTGACCACCAGGTGGCAGACGCTCAACACAAGAGCTGCCGAGCTGCAGTGACTTGGCATTGGTGGTTCTCGGGTGACGCACCCCGGAACCAGAGAGAAGAGAGCCCAATTCCAGAGTGTGTCACCCGAGAACCGCCCTCTCGCAATCCAGGACCCCTCAGGGGATGTCGGAGAGCCGGTTTCAGCCCGATCCCCACAGGCCAGACCGAGGGACTCATCTGCTGGAGGGACCCCCCGCTCACTCCACAGACGCCCTTAGAGCCACGGCGCTGCCCCAGGTGCAACCGGCCAGGAGGGACCGCAGGAGGTTGGCTCCAGGGCATGTCCAACCCATCTCACCTAGTCCCACCCCTCCAGCCACCTTCTAATTAATTTTCTTCCAATGTGCACGGATCCGTGCACTAGGGCACTAGTATATAAATAATATCCATAAAGAACTCATACAACTAAACAATAAAACAAATAATCCAATTTAAAAGTGGGCAGAGGGCTTTTCTGTGCCAATAGGGCTCTTGCAAACATGGTGAACATTCCTAAAACCCACTAGACTTTCTGTAAGAGGTATGGCAAGCATCAACCTGACAAAGTAATACAATACAAGAAGGGCAAGGATTCTCTCTCTGTATGCTCAGAGAAAACAGAGTTATGACAGGAAACAGAGTGGCTCTGGTGGGCAGACTAAGCCAGTTTTCAGCAAAAAGGATAAAACTGCTGAGGGTTGAATGCATTAAGCCCAACTGCAGATTTAAGAGAATGCTGGCTATTAAGAGATGCAAACATTTTGAACTGGGAGGAGATAGGAAGAGAAAGGGTCAAGTGGTCTAGTCCTAAGCTTCATATTTTGTTTTATTATGTGACAACAAAATCTATGTGCACTTAAAAAAAAGGGGGGACAGAGGACCTAGAAGACATACAACAGATATATGAAAGGTTGCTCAACTTCACTTGCTATAAGGGAAATGCAAATTTAAAAAATGAAATATCACCTCACAACTGTTAGAATGCCTACTATCAATAAGACAATAAGAAGTGTTGGAAAGGCTATGGGGAAAAAAGAAACCCTCTTATATTGTTGTTCCTAAAAAATTAGGACTGGAATTATCATATCCCCCAACAATCCCTCTTCTGGGTATCTACCTGAAAATTTTAAAAACACTTATTTGTAAAGATATATGTACCCCTATGTTCACTGTAGCATTATTCGTGGTAGCTAAGACATGAAACAACCTAAGTGTTCTTTGATGGTTAATAGCATAAAAATGTGATACATATATATAATGGAATACTACTCAGCCATTAGAAAGGATGAAATAATGTCATTTTGTGACAATATGGCTGGGTCTTGAGAGTATCATGCTAAGCAAAGTAAGACAGAAAAGGACAAGAACCATATAATTTCATTTATATGTGGGATATAAAACAGAAAGCAACAAATTCTTAGTCACAGACAACTAACAGTATGGTGGTTACCAGAGGAGAAGAGTGTGGGAAGCCTGAAGAGGGTAAAAGGGGTTAAATATATGGTGATGGAAGGAGACTAGGCTTGAAGTGGTGAGCACACAATGCAATATACAGATGATGTATTACAGAATTGTACACTTGAAACTTACATAATGTTATTAACCAATGCATCCCAATAAATTTTTTAAAAGAAAAAAATTATAACTACATGTGATGACGGATGTTAATTAGACTCCCTGTGATGATCATTCTGCAATATATACAAATATCAAATCATTATTTGTACACCTGAAATTAGTATGTCAATTATAGCTCAATTAAGAGATATTTAAGAAAACAAATCATGAGCAATGACAAGATTAAGTGAACACTAAAAGTTCATTATGAAATCATATTATAACAATCAAACTCAATTTAAAGAGTGAGAGCTGTTTCAAAAAACAGGACCTCTAACCAAATAGCAAAGTTCAATTGGCAAATGACAGCACTTTGTACACTATCATCACCAAAGGTTGTCATGTAGCCCCAGGACTACACTTAGGTATGTAATTATACTAGGTGTACCGATTAATAACTCGGACTTTTTTTAATAGATGGAGTTACACATATGTTGATATATACGCGATTTGATATGTATGCTATTTTGTTGTATTAACAAGCATCAAAAATTTATATGTCAAATTTGTTGAAGGTGTTAACATCATAGAAATTTTTACACTTAAAAATGTCAAATTTCATGCCAAAAAAAAGAGCATTTGCAGGAAGTTTTAATTCATTACTTTATTCTGAGGAAAAGTGCTGTTGAAAGTTATCGTATACTTCGGGAAGCTTATGGTGAACATGCTCCATCTCAAGATACTTGTGAACGCTGGCTTCAACGCTTTAAAAGTGATGATTTCGATGTGAAAGACAAAGAACATCCAGGTCAACCGAAAAAGTTTGAAGACCAACAATTACAAGCATTATTGGATGAAGATGCGTGTCAAACTCAAAAACAACTTGCAGAAAGATTAAACGTTGCTCAGCAAATAATTTCCGATCATTTACAAGCAATGGGAAAGATTTTAAAGGAAGGAAAATGGGTGCCACATCAACTGAACGAAAGACAAATGGAAAACCGAAAAGTCATCAGTAAAATGTTGGCACGAAAGAAAAGTCTTTTTTACATCGAATTGTGACTGGCAATGAAAAGTGGATTTATTTTGAGAATCCCAAATGCACAAAATCATGGGTTGATCCAGCTCAACCATCAACATCGACTGCAAGGCCAAATCGCTTCGGAAAGAA